AGTATATTCATTATAAATTTTTGACTGCCACGGTCTAACTGATTAGCACAGCGCCTTCGCAACGTTATTATATTATTACTAGCTGTGCCCGTTTATATTATTACGGTTTCACCCGCGTGAAATATATTGCCTATATGTTATTCTGATATATTAAATATATTACTGTAAAGTTTCATCAAAATCTGTTCAGTAGTTTTTGTGTGAAAGAGTAACAAACATCCATACTCCCAACCTTTGGCGTTTATAATATCACTAGCTACTCGCCCTGGCTTCGCACGGATGTACATGTATTATATATATAAACCTTCCTCTAGAATCACTCTATCTGTTAAAAGAAAAACCGCTTCAAAATCCGTTGAGCACTTTTAAAGATTTAAACATACATAGGGACAGACAGAGACAGCGACTTTATATAAAATAAAGTCGCTGTCGCTGTAATGACTATGTAATGATGATTAAGATAAGATTATACCTGCATACCATGCGGACAGCGCCATAGTATACCGCTTGTTTTGGCTATATACTATTTTAAGTTACAAGTTTCATAAAGATTATAATTATTTAGTACAAGAAATACCGACATGACATTTTCCAATTAACTGTTGTATTATTAAAAAACAGTACAGAACGAAGCTAAATTGAAGGAAAAACAAAAAAGCTCCGTTTGCTTTTATACGTTTAACACAAAAGAAATAGGGAGAAAATATATAAAAGGAACGTAAGGTTACAGAGCCCCGACAGAACTGGAATAACAAAAATATTGGGGCGGTTTGCCTTCGGTTGTCCGGTATAAAAACTCATATAAGTATTTTGTTAGCGTATAATAAAGAATTGATGTTATATGTATAAATATCGGGATACTGTAACGTTAGATGGGGTAACGCTCTGCTACCATTTGGAGAAACAAGCTAGTCGGTGTAAAGATATAACATTTTACTATCTAAACAACTGTTACTAACAAAATTCTTTTTTCTTTGTATGTATATTTATTTATTTATTTTTATTTATTTATTAAAGGAAAACCAAGGCTATTCAAGTACATCTTAAATAAAATCAATATATATGTCACAGTAAGCCACTGACAGGCTTTCACTAATAACAATAGACTAATTCTTAAAAAATTTACATCACTACGTATAAAGTTAACAGAGAACATGAAATTAATTAACAAGAGTACAGTAACAAATAGTAAATTTATAGAAATATATACATATACATGATTTTCAATAATAATTAATTGTTATTTAAAGAAGGGCTCACTTAGTTGGTGTCTCGCTGATTTAATATTATTACAAAATATATCTATATTAACTGTTTTAGATATTTTATTAAAATTGTTGCTAGCTCGCCAGAGAAATGAATTCTGCTTATAGTTCGATGATACTAGGGGAACAGATAGGAGAGGATTGTGCCTTGTTGATACTCGTGGTACATTAATGGATAATTTACCTACAAACTTTAACTATATGTTTTTTTTCTATTACTATCCTAAGACAATACTCTTTACAGCAGCATTCTTTACAGCTTCACCGAACGATGGAGGGCGAGTGCAGATGGCACTTTAAACCCGAGGAATAACTTAACGGAGCGGCTGAAGGCCAACTCCTGCCTGACGTAACGTTAGGGTTCTCGGTTCAGGCCGTCGTAATTCCGATCCCCGTTTGAATTGGATAGGAGATCCATCGAAGGGCAGAACTTTTTGCTGTTGAGGTCAACATAATAATTAAATTTCTCTTTACATATAGCTGAGATATTTGAATGTAACGCGGCATGTAGTGACTTAATCATGATCATGAGGGGTAAAGGTTGTATGGTTTAGTAACGGGGACTAGTGAACCCATTGCTAGCAATATACTATATCAGGTCGATCTCCCCTCGGTCCCCTCCATTTTTAATGCGCTAACTGACCTAACAACTTATCATATCATCCTCCACTGGTGTCCCGCAAATATATATCGTTATAGCGGGTCATTTAATTATAATTATTAATATTTATGTTTTATAATTAAAAGTTTGTAATAATTAATTAATTAAACTAGTTTGAACTTATTCCATAACAAAAATAGAGTAGATAAAAAACAAATTGTTATGACTATCAAAAGTGCTTAAATTAAGTTTATTTGAATAAATGATTTTCTATTCTATTCTATTCCACTCATTTACAAAACAGGAATCGAATCCGCTCCTGTTCAATAGAGATAAGGAATTATCAAGTTCGGTCTAGGTTATTATCTAGCTGTAGCACAAACTTCCACTTAGCATATAATAAATAGAAAGATAAAAACACTATTGAATAAACCTCTATTTTAAACTTGATTATAAATATCTATGATGCAGACATACAGTTTTTTTCTGTTTGTGTCTTTCACTTATAATTATACTATTTCTTGTACAGTCAGCTTCATATTGATGGTATAGTCAAGAATTCAAATTTAAAAGTCCGTACCTGGACTAGGTATTTAATCATATGGGATATTCGGAATTCAAAATTATTTGTACATTTGCGCGGCTGCGAATTCGTTCCTACTCGTATTTATGCTGGGCGCGGTAATCTAGCGGCTTATTTAGCTTTACTTTCGATGGTCGCGGGTTCGATTCTTCGCACGGTGCAAACATTTGTATGGTATCATGACTATAACTGCATGTATCGATCTGAGGGTTATGTATGTTATGTATGCATTTACAAAAAAATATATACCTAAGTACATATTTATATCAGTTGTCTAGTACCCATAACACAAGCTCTGCTTACCGTGAGACCAGATGGCGCTGTGTCAATTGTCTAGGGTACAAGTACAGTCGACTTCATACTTTAAAAAAATATGAAGTCGACTGTACTTGTGTGACTTTCAATATATGTGACAGATGATTGACGTTATATAAGTAAAACAACTTCGGCGATACTGTTTAGTGAAAATAAATGGATTCTATTCATTATGTAATAACGAGCGTATGTTTCACGTAATTCTTCGATGATGTATACACTAGTGTTCCGCCCTGGCTTTGCATGAGTTCTTTTGTATAGGAATTTTTTTTAACTACAATATATCTGTTAATTGTTAGTCTGTATAGCTAATAATGCAGCCCTCTGGAGAGGAAAATTAGTTATGTACATATTTTTTAAATTGCCAAGTATAAACAATTTTTTTTTCATTTTATGTAATACTGACCGTTAGTGAAAACATATAATGTATTCGTAGCAACAGCTGTTTTTAATTAAATAAAAGCAACGAAATAATAATAATGACCTTGGTAATTCACACAGCATCATCTAGTCCTAAGTTAAACAGAGTTTGTGTATACCTATAGTATTAAACATTTACTCCTCGCGAAATGACTTATCGTAAAAATTGCATACAATTGGCTGAACGTATTTTAATAACGCGACAGCCATACAAGTAAAATAAAAGTACCTGCAATAAAACTATCCATAACAAAAAAGTGTCCATTTTGTATGGCGATACAAATATTTAATAAGCTTCCTGACGATATAAGAACCCTCTCTGGAATATTATTTAAAAGAAAACTGCATGAATGGTTAGTTTCCAAGTGTTTTTACTCAATTAAAGAGTTTTTGGAATATTAAAATAATAAATTGTTCCTCATGACATTTAGATTTATATACAAATTGACATATAACTACATACAATAATTAATAATTATATAAACAATTGATAATTTAATTAACTAAAAATTTGTACGCTTGATATAAGCAGATTTTGCAAGGGCCATGTTTTTGTATAACATCATATATGTATGTACCCAAAATCTATTGCAAATAAATTTATTATTATTATTATTATAATGAAATTTTAAAAACAACAAAGAAAAATGTAACAAAAAGCACAGATTTTCATATTTATGATAATAACTATTTGTAGAAGAGGATTATGTAATGCGATGAGAGCAAAAAAGATACTGGTGTAGTCACAAATATTTTACTGACTAATGTCATATATAAAACAATATAGTTATTATAAAAAGCATAGACAATAAAAAAGATATATATAGATAGTTTCCAACACTATTATTATTATAGTCAGCAATAGAATTGCAAACATTGCTATAGTACACATCTTTGTTAAAGTCGGTTCACATGTCCTCCGTCCCTAAAAGTATACGTTTTTATTGTACACTTCATAGTAATTCCTTTACACCCGTAGTCTCGTACACTACAGTACAATAAAACCGTATCGCGAAAGACAATGAAAACGCATTACGACAGTAGGTCAGTGGACTCCCAAATAGGTACCTCAAGTTTGATATCGAAGCTTTGTTTTGAAGTATCGTCAACACGCGATTCTCTACGAACCACTCTAATCTACATTGTATTCTTGAATTATTGATTGTATCGATTTACGATTACCTGTGCGTGTCCCCACACTACTAAAAATCGAATCGATAAAATGTGAAGTTAATCACATCGTATTCAAAAAACGAATTGGGGCAAGTGAAATTGTAAGTAGGAACATCTGATCGTATTCAAATATAGAATAGGGTAAGTGAACGATTTTTCTTTTTAATTTTTCTTGCTTTTCATTTATTTTTTTAATTCTGTACACCAAAATATGTGGATTCTACAACCAAAACATTTTTTATACAGTTCATACGAGTGGAGTTAAAATCAGTGACTGACGAATTTATATAAAAATTTTAGTAATTTATTTACTAAATCTATAATAAATAAATAAATAGCAAGAAAATAATATAACAGTAGGTATTAATAATAAACTGCATTACCTAAATAATTAAATTTTTGAAAATCAACTTTTAAATTTTAATACGTAATACTTAAACAAAACACCCAGATCAATATGGTACACTAATGTTTGAGCGGATTTCAAACCCGTGACCACCATAAAGTGATGGAATACATTAAACCACTAGACCACAACCATAAGGGTCGCCAAAGGTACCAAGGTGCTTTTGGAAAATACTACAGATTCTAAGTAAGAATGGGCTAAGTCATGAATATAATATTTTTTATTCTAATCACTAACCTGCATCTCTGGTGGACCACCCTCGTCCCTGATAAGCAGGAGATAGCTGTGTCCGTCTATGATTACTTCTTTTTTGAAGCGACCACCTGAAAAAACATTTTTTATAACTGTTACCGCCATTTTCCTTCTTTTTTGAGAAAAAAGACAAGTTATGGCTTTTGATAATTTAATTAATCGAAATTATTAAACTAAATTAGTAAGATCAGTTCAGCAATTTAGTTGTGGAACTTCAAATAAAAAACGACGTCAGCGCCATCTAATTCCAATTGTATAATATTTAAACTTCAGCAAAGCAGACCCCGTGCTGCCATCTATGACAATTTTTTTGAACTAGAAAGCTGGCACGAAAGCAGTTGACATCATTGTTTACTAGATGGCGCTGTTAGAAAGAAATATATTTAGTAACAATTTCATTTAGTGTCAAAATTAAGACACATACCTTCAGGACTTTCCTCCTGCATATATGCCCCAGTCAAATATCGGTGAACTAAAGCAGATTTCCCGCTGTCTGGAGATCCCAGGACACCAACTCTCAATTCTGTCACTCCTCTCGCCGCCGTCCATTCTTGACTGTTGACGAATGAATCTGTAACAAAATAAAGTAAAAACGTTAGTAAAAATAATTGTGACCAATAGTTCTATTGTTTTATGGTATTTTCGTGGCTGGAGCATTTAGCGCCCTCTAGATGAGGGAAATAAATGCAGTATTAAAATCATAGATGGCGTGACTAGAACACATTGGTTTCATTTAATATGCGTGAACTTGTACATATATCTTTTTTTGTTTATTATGTTTCATGGCTCTGGATACAAATACTTTTAAATGTAACTTTAACAAGTACACGAAATTTAAATTTTATACACATCTCACAGCGTATTGTTTGCCGCTATAAATTTAATTATTATAGAAATATCAAACATTAAATAAACAAATAACTACAAAATTAATTAAAGAAAATTTCCTATATTGAAATGTATATTTATATGTAATGCTTGATTATTCAGTGCTATCTCCATCAGGTGACACTAAAGTGAATATGTAGTCAATTCTTTAATATATTGGTGAAATACAAATCGTAATTCTGAAAATGGTAGATGTCGATACATACCCATGAATACAGATGTTTGTATTCAACGGGAATCGAACCTACAACCATCGGGATTACCGTGTGCTAAACTGCTGGACCATCGAGGTCAATCAGATAAGATTTATAAAATATTATGAGTAGATTTTTCTGTAATTACCTCATATTCACGCTTCATCGCAACAATATGACAAACCAGTTTCGGTTTATCTAACCAGAGACAAGGAAGTAACGGGATACCAGTGAAAGTTGTTCATGGTCTATTCGCGCTATTTAATAATCCCTTTAGTTATAAATTAATTAGTGTTATATGTTTATTATTTGCGTATTACGTACACCTACAACATAGTAGTGTAGGTTTCGAGCAATAAAGGCCGTAGGTTCGCATCTCATTAATAAAACAAAGTATTATTTCATCAGTGAGTCTCCTAAATGCTACCTATTAGGAAGTAAAGTATTCTTTTTCACTATATTTTACACTGTAAACTTTTGGCTAACCAACAAGAAGTTCTAGAATCAACTCCATGCGAATTTAGTTCCATACATTAGGCTTTTTTTTTTAATTCTCTTGTAAATTACTTACTAAATATTTGATAAACAAAATTACCAACATTGTCTTAATGTTATCAATAAACAGTACAGTATAGTACTGTTGTAGCGAACTCCTTGATGAATTTTATATCATTTTTAATTTTATAATCATATTTTTTTTACTTATTCTTTTTTATAACATTCTATCCCATGTAGCTGTCGTCGCATTTGTTTTTTTTTTGTTTTTGTTCGACATTTCTATAATAATTAAATTTATAGCAGCAAAAAAATTACTTTTAGCTCCGTATTTAAAACTCTCAATACTTCTCACTCATAAGGTACATCAGATGGCTCCGCTTAAACTGTACTATGCTAATCATTAAAAATATTTTGGTCATATTACATTCAACAAAGAATACGATAGCCATATAAAAAACAAAATATATAGCGTTTAGACCGTAACGAGACGTGAGTGAGCGACGCGTTTTTGGCTACTTTTTTCTTCCAAATTCCCAATCGCGTAGGCATCTCGTTGCCTACTGATGCAAGACTCACGTAATAAGAAGATAAGAACATTATACTTGGACACTTTCTAGTGAAATATAGTAAATTGTTCCTTTGAACCGACTATGCAACGTGAGTTCAGTCATTTGTCAAATGTTGGTCCACAAAATGAGCGCTAAATCAGACTTATCATCACTACATGGTATAAAACAAATTCGCTGTCTGTCCGTCCCTATGTACCATATACTTAAATCTTTAAAACTACGCAACGGATTTTGAAGCGGTTTTTTTTAATAGATAGAGTGATTCAAGAGGATGGTTTATATGTATAATATTGTAGAGAAACACTGATTCATTTAGAGGTTTCTAATGTGATGTCGTAAATAAACACATTTTTTACGCTTACTTTGAAAACGCTTGTTGAACCCTACGAGATATATCAAAATAATGTACACCTTAAAAGGTCATCAAAAAGTCTGTTTAAGCGACAATTTGTCAGTTTGTCAGGTTATTACACCTTGCTGACACCTCGCTTACTTCGTGGCTCCATATTCAATAGACATTCTTGAGGAGGCCGTTCCAATATTATGACATTGCCGAGACGAATAGACTAGCCGTGTCCGAACAATAGACCATAATGATAGCTTATATCTAGCGGTGAAACTTATCGAAATTGTCAACAATTGAAGCAGTACTAGCAAGTACGTATGTTTATGTAACAAAACAGCGGCAGCTATACGAATACTTTCTTTTCAACCAACTATAAAAAGGTAGTATTCAGGTGAAAGCGTTTTTATTTAAGATAGATATTCTATATTTTATTTGTAACGTACAGAAAAAAAATATTATAATTACAATGAGGCGGCCTTATTACTGAAAGCAATTAAGGCAACCTTAGAGAAACCTTCATTTCAACCAATTACCAAAAAGTTGGTGTGTAATTTATTTATGATAGATAGAATCTACTTAATACTTAATTAATGACATTTAGTGAAGAAAATACATAAATAAAATATTATTAACGCATGTATAATTACAATAAAGAGGCCTTATTGCTGAAAGCAATGTTTTCAAGGCAACTGTTAGGTGTCCTCCGCGTCGATAAAGTTTCATTAATAGTTTAGTTGTCAAATATAGATTGACACTACTATGTAAAATATTATAAAAAGGCAATACAATTCAGCAAACGTACATATTATTTATTAGTTAACATATCATTTCAACATAAAAGGAATCTTAGGGAAACTTTCTTTTCGGATAGTTTCTTTTCAAACAATTATCAAAAAGGTGCTCTTCAGATTGATGCGTAATATATTTAAGATAGATCAATAGAATGTACTTAATCTGTAACGTACAGAAAAGAAAAGACAAAATATATTCAAGAAAACGAGTAAATAATTACAATAAAGCGGCCTTATTGCTGAAAACAAGTAAGGCAACCTTACAGAAAGGGATTTAAATATCTAACACATTTTAAGGTTCCACGTTACGATATCTTCAATGTAATTTGAGCTCTTTTTGTAATCTATAGAGTTTATATTCATATTAAAATAAAAATACAATTGTGGCTGTTTTCTTTTTGTGTAGTACAATATAGATATTTACAAATCCACTATACCAACTTCAAAAACAGCGTACTTACCATCTTATTTGGTGTTACAAGTAATCATTTTAATTTGACATCAGTACACTAAAGTGTCCGATGACTTATTATATACCGGGATCATTACCGTCCCGTTCCCGTAGTAAATTAACTTTATTGCCATTGTGACAGCCATAAATCAAGAGTGAAGTTTGGGGTCCTTTTGGCCGAAAGGGTTTTAAAATTCATGGGTCGAAATGGCCCGCCCGTGAGTGCTCATTTTATAGCGTCGTAAAGGTGTTAAATAAGTGTCTAATCGTGTTAACGATTGTCGGCAGCGAGAGGGTTTGACATTTTAACCGACTTGAAAAAAGAAGTTGTCATTTCGATTGTACTTTTTTCGAGGAATCTTCACCGTTTGTGAAGTTATGTCGATGGTTCCTTTTGGAACAGAGAGGTTTTGTCTCATGTTATATTGGACTTATATTAATTTTCTAACGATATACATATGTTTTTATGTGTTGTATTCATAACTGTATATTTTTTAATTATTTCATTTTAAAGCCTTGATAACAACACTAACAAGGCAGGTATTAATTCAAAGGAAAAATAAAGAAATTCTGAACAAAATAAATATGCTCAGTTGTAACACCCTTAAATAAATAGTCATCAAAATCGGTTCAAAATTAGTTATGATTTTATAAACTAAACGAAAAACGAATTGAAAACCTTCTTTTAAAAGCAGGATATAGAATCATTACAGATTGTGTTTGACTTTAAGATGCAATATTAGATGCTGAGTATTTCATAACTCGGGATTACCTGCTCTGACCCCGGGCAAATAAGGTACATTTGCATAGTTACTTTACCCGGTATCTGGATGTCTGTGTGTCTTATACCCAGACATAATCTTTCAGGACTTTTGAACTGATATGATATGAGTTAATATTCTATTGGTTCGGTATCATCCATTAACCAATCGAGGTAGAGTTTGTACAGAATCGTGTTTCAGTACCTAAATAATAATGATAACACCATATCTGTAAAATATTCTGCTGTAATCATTACATAGTTTTAAACAAAGTCACTGTCGCTGTCTGTCCGTCCCTATGTATGCTTATTAAATCATTCAAACTACGCAACGGATTTTTAGCGGTTTTTTTTAAATAGATAGAGTGATTCAAGAGTAAGTTTTATATGTAAAATACATGTACACCCGTGCGAAGCTGGGGTGAATAGCTAGTAAGGTAATAAATTATTTCATAATATTGTCTTCCAAAAGCCATATAAAAAAATTGAAACTACGCCTCGCTTTGTTATGGCATACAATATTCTCATCAATTATTAACCTACGCGATTACAATTAGCTAGTCTGTGTTTAATATGAACCTATTAATAATTAACCTGACAAGAATCCTCCTAACTACATTATTACATGTATACATTATCCTTACTCCTTACTAATATTATAAAAGCGAAAGTAACTCTGTCTGTCTATCTCGCTTTCACGCCAAAACTACTGAGCCTATTTAACTGAAATTTGGTACACAGATAGTCTAGGCTCTGAGAAAGAACATAGGCTACTTTTTAATGCGAAAAAAAAACTTGTATTGGGTTGAAAGGGGAGACGAAAGGTTGTATGGAAGTATCGTCATTTTTAAAGCTTGAAGCTTAAAACTTATTTTTTCGACTGTTGATTAAATATAAATAAATATGACATTCAAAATTTATAAAAATTTTACCCTTAAGGGCGCTAAATAAAATAGGGGATGAAAGTTTGTATGTAAGTCGTCATTTTTGAAGTTAGGACTATTAAAATTTTATTTTGCCATTTTTAGATTGGTCAATATTTTTTCGTTATTTGGTCAATATCATTAAAACGCG